GAGGCGAAATGTGTAAGTGATACCTGTGAGCTGTGTTGCGAATATTTTCTTCTCGTGACTTTTCTGTCTTCTACCTTTTTATTACTGAAAATCGGTTTTTGCGTTGAAGTCAAACCCCGTCAGAAAGGTATAAAAGTAAAGACATAATTAGCAACGTGGTGGGATGTACGGCATTGAGTGAGCTTTTATCCAAGAAATCAATTGTGTGCTTTTAAGAGATTAACTCCCGCTTGGTGCAAAAAAATGAATCACTAAAAGTGCACGCCGCTGGCTCCGGTCAACCGCGTATACAGACGATGTTGGAGAATTGAACGTCTTGCCATGGAAAAAAAAGTACAGCAGTCAAACGACCTTATTAACCCGCAGTCCTTAAAGGAATCAATGCGTTGAAGGCTGTTTTCTACGATGTCGGAAGTTATTCCCGCTCAAAGGGTAATGTTATGCTAAAATCTTTCAAAAGGCCCTTGCGCCTGCAGCTGCCTTCACTGAGGGTAGAAAGTCCGTGACTTTCAAAGATAGTAAATACTTGCTAATCTTTTTTTCGTTTTTCAACAAATTTTGCATGTTGGATTAATGCTATCTCATTTCTCTTTTTTGGGCGGTTTTACTGAAGCAAGTCGGTCGAAAAGTGACTCGGTAATGTCCTTACAAATATCGAGCTTGTGAATAAACCTATTTTAAAACAACCCCTCAAACCGGTTTCTTTACAATGATGGTCAGTTTGTTCTTAGGAAAATAACAGTTCTAACGAGATTGTAACTGAAGCATGTAGTCTCCGCCAATTGAGAAACTTTTCGCGCGATGCTGGAGCATTTTGGCGATATTGAATTTCGACGTTTCTTCAGGTTTATTCAGTTTTGTTGACAATTCATATATTAGGTGTCCTTACCGAAGGAAGCTTTTTCAACCTTTTTTCAGTCATGCCAAACAGTTTAAAGTATTCCCTAACATTCCTTGCTGTGAATTGTAATCCCAAAAGGCTAAATAACTCATGATACAGCTCAACCCCGTAAAAGAAAAATGCACCTACGATTTTATATTAACAGAATGCTATGGACCCTAAACTTTTCCACTGAATGAGGTGGGTAAACATGCAGAAAGCAATCCGTTTAGTTTTTCTCTGAGACTTGGAACATCTGGTCCTTCTTAGGCTCGTGTTTCACGTTTAATTCTGTTGTTGTGCTCCTAAGTAAGCTCGGGAAAATTCGTTTTGCTAACCTGTACTGACATCAGTTTTCATCATAGTTCTGTCCGCAATTTTGAGTGCAATGCGTTTTTGTATATTTTGCAAAATATCCTCGGAAATGTTAGAATCATCTAAAACTTTAGTCTTCACCAAAGAAACAGATTTCAACGAGTGTTCAATTTTAATAAATTTCGCTCATACAGTAACCTCATTTCAATGATAGCTTATAAAGAAAAGCATGCGGTCAATGTGTTGTGACTCTGGCTCCGTCCGACACGAAACACACGGGTCCGAAATATTAACCGCATCTACTTGAAAGATCCAAATCAAGTTCTCACATCCGATATTGTAGGAACAAATTCAGATGTTGGCAAAGATGGCAAAATCCTTGAAACCTTAAACTTGTAGTGAGCCTAAATGCACAGTTAGTCCACATCACAGGTGTTCTAAGGTCAAGTAAGACTAATCTGAGGTTGTGTTCTAATAAAACCCATATGTAGGTATTTTTTGTTGAATGAGGATTCTGTATACTATGCTTTGACTCATATAAGCCCCAAAGCCTTTAAATGAATCCGCTGTAGATTTTCGTTCGTTTTTCCTCACAAAATTTGAGTTTAAAATTAAACTTACCGCATGCACAAAAGTTGTGTGCATGCCTCAAGGCGTGTATTGGTAATATACCCTCTTTCCTTTCTTTCAACACTGTATATTCTTCCTTACCGCAACTATGTCGCTTAAAAGCCAGCTTTCTTTCAAAATCAAAGGAATCAATTCGCACAATTTCACGTTTCTGTGGGTCCTTTCAACAGCAGCCACAAAGCTAGACGAAAATTTAATAAGTGCTCACCTGAATTCATTTTTCAAATGAATCTGTAGTTATTTGTGGTGTACTTGTACTCATCCGTTTATTGACGGATATTGAATGCCATGAAGAGAAAGCTAGAAAAAGTCCCTTATTTCCCCGAAGAATCATATGTTGGCGTAAAAAATATAGACTCTTTTTTTTTTCCTTTGTTTAATTTGAAATTCACTTTTCCCATATCAGTGATATATTTTAATCTAAGCCCCTCGCAGCGTTACATAGCCCGGCTGTGTCAAAGATAAAAAGTTAAGAATTTCAAAGGTTTCCTGGTTCCTTCTCACCTCCAGTTTTTTCCCTTACAAAACGTAGGAAACGATAAAAAATATTACCAGGTGTATACCTGAACAACTCCACAAACTTAAGCCATCTTCTCAAACAGATTTCGCCACAGTTATAAATTGTTTACTTTTTAGTTGCAATCTGCTCGATTGACTCCTTAGAACGGGTAACATTCCCGAAGGATTTAAGACTCTCTGAGAAGCTGCAAGAAAGCTGTTCAGTTCATTGTATCAATAAAGTTTTTTCGTATGACAAAGCGGAATTTTTCCTCCAAGTTGACAGCTACGCTCGACGAGTTGTAAATGAATTTAAGCAAGGAGACATCTGCATTGAAACAAAAAAATGGATCGTTCTCTTTGAGGAAAATATATGTCGGTGTTCCACATTTCAGTTTCTCCTTTCTTTTAACTTCTTTGGAACATAGGGTTTCATTTCTGATATTTTTCGGTTTTTATCGCAGACAGGATTGATGTTCGTGAATGTTTCTGGCGTACACTGAATAGCCAGGCGAATGTGACACAGCAGTTTAGCATTTGTTTTCGGTTTAACGACATAAACTAATTACTTTCTTGTTATTAGGACGTAAAGGGGGAAAAAGATTAGGTCCAGCCTTTTATATATGCACCGGTCTTGGTACAGTGGTGTTGAAGGTGGCGAAACGAACTGATCAACAATGCAAAAAGTGCCTAGAAATCATACTGACAAATTGGACTCATTAAGTTGGCGTGTAATGCCAACTCGGTGACTTTCTCTGTCATACTCAATGGTAAATTTGTCTGCTTCCCAATAGTTGTCATAAGCAATTGTAACAAGAAATATTTTCCTTTTACAACGTAAGTTTACGCTTGGTAAAGGAGACTTCTTAACGCCTTCAATTTAGGCATCAGAAAGCAGTTCTGGTCGAGTTAAAACGATCTCACACTGATGGGAAACCGGGAAAATCTCGAAGGCTACAGCATCAACATGCAATACTTCTTAATTTACAAATTATTTAAATGATGATATTGGTCGCGGTATTCTTTTCACCGGAATATCGCTGATGTGAGTTGCTGTTGTCACGTAAACTACGAATGGATTATTCTATCCCAAACTCATCTTTGTGCTAAATCATAAACAGCGTAAACATAGAATGAATAACCTCGGTATTACGTACACAAATGACAACAAGCAGATCAAACCGTACCTAGTATTGGGGAGCCCGCATTCATGTTTCGCGCTCGAGGCAGATTTTCCGGAGTGCGAAAAGATTCGTGTACTGAACACAGCTTCTAGTTTTGAGCGTATTGACTCAATAGACTCGCCGGATCTTAGTTCCAGATCCCCGAAGCTCAGCCATTCATATGCTTATAATAAGGCGGGCCCAAGATCTGCCAACATCCACAATTGTATTGCTTGAATATTCATCACCTCAATTTGCTTTAGTCTTTGTCGTGTCTCGACACATCGCGATATGTTCCTTGTTGCATGTCTACCTTGACTTATTAAATGCCCCTGAGTTACTCAAACTGTAGTGGCAAGCACGGCAAGAGGGTGTCGTATCTTGCATAGCTGGTAAATAATTCACAGCAAGCAATAAATTCGAACATTATAGGAGGATGCATAACGGTCGCATGTTAATAGTTCGTACGGGTGGGTATATTTGCTGAGCTATATGGTGCTAGTGCCAGAGCCAGTGGGAGGAAAAAAATCAACAGTTGATTTGTTGAAAATTGGCATTTTAAATCTGAAACCAAAGATACCGCTTGATAAATTACCAAGCTCTTGCTATAGCTTATTTTCGGTTTCATCGTTCCGTGGTGTGTCCACAAAGTAGATTTGAAATACAAGAAGCCTGTTATGTGTGTGTGTGTTTTTTTTTCCCTCAATCATTCTGCATACGTTTTATCACTTCGTTTGTGTTATAGAGTCAAATCTGAAATCACTGAAAATCCTCTCTCTTCAAAATGGTACATCTTAATCACAGAGAGCGATCAAATTTTTCTGGTACATCTAATCCTTTATATCTAATTTGCATGGAAATTTTGGCGCGCTTTGAAGACGCCTGAGCGAATGGAGCAAAAATGCGACCCAACACAAATTATACCTCATAAACATCAACCAGTGCACATAAATTTTTGTAATTGCGGCACTACATTTTACCAAAACGTATCCTCAAAAAACAGCGCACAGAGTGTATTTCTAAAAAAAAGGTGGGTTATCCCACCAAACAGCAAAATTGATTAAACGAGATATAGTTCAAATCGCCCTTCCTTTTAAAGAAAGGGAAAATATTTGCGCGCTAAAGCGTTCACGCGCCGCTCGCCTTTAAACTCGTTTGTTGCAGTAACTTTGAAATTAGCATTAAACACACGCTTTGTTCTGTAAATACGCCATGTCAGGCGGCGAACACAAGGTAGCTTTTGACAGGGCGGTCCGCCACGAGTGTGGGCGAAGATGACAGCCAGTCAAACTTGTCAAACTTTCAAAGAGAACCGAAAAAGCAAACATTGAATGTAAATTTTTCAGAGTGTGAAAAGAACTTTCGGATGTTTGTATTGCTGGATAATCACCACACACCAAGTGACAGCTCAGGCCTTTATATGGATTAAATTATTCGAGCTCTACAGTTGTACAAAGTAAACAGTGCATAAATTGCAAGGAAGCGCCGTGCACTTTTCACAAGCTACCGGAAAGTTTGTTTACGGGTTAGCTATTTTAGGCCCTGCTCATGCGAATATTTTAATAGTTAAGTGGGTCGGTGACACTAGCTGTCAGTAGCAGAAGAGATGCCTTAAATAATAACTGACATACCCCTTTTTAATTCTCGTTTAAATTCAAATGCTGTCAATTTTGAGGCTACCAGAAGGTAATTTTAACCCACAAAAAAACGCCCAGTTTTTGCTTCGCTTCTTCTTTCAAGATCTCATTGATCTGTAGCCTGTCAGCAAGATAAACCGCTTACTTCAGTCGCGCGACCAACAATAAACTGAATTAACAATTTCCTTCAAAGTTCTAAAGTCCCTTGAACTATTTCCTCTTCCAAACAGTTGCTTTTGAAAAAATAAGCGTGAAGTTGTGAAAGGTGAATCTAAAGTGACTTTGAAATGAATGCAAGTTCCGTTGTTGTCGTTACTTTTCTTCTCCCGAGAGTATCTCACAATCAACACACCTAACCATTAAAGTTATCAGCTGAACACGGTGATGAAATTTCGTCAGGTTCATCATTTTCGTACGGAAACAGCCTTTCACGCGAAACCGTTACGCGCTAACCAGACAAGACAATTCGCAAACATTGCGAGTTTCCTTTCTTTTCAAAAAGAGTTTTGGTTACCACGTCAAACGGGAGTGACATTCACTTCTAATATTCATTCGACTTATTCAAATTAGTGGAGCAAACATTACTAAGAGGAGAAGTAGGCCACTGAAAACATTTCAGCCGCGTAGCTTTTCGTTCGCGTGTTGAAAGAGCTGTTGATTGCGTTGAGCGAGGAAAACGTCGTTGAATTGTTCTTGATCCATGGTTGAACCCCCCTAAAATGGGCCACTGACCATTTTGACTAGAAGGCGAGAATTCTTTCCTTAGCAGGTAGGCGGTTTTCTTTCAAGGGCACGTGTAAATCCACTGCTAAAACTGATGTTTTCGAAGTCTCAGATCCTCGCCCCTTAGACCAACATAAGGTGTACGGAATGCTAATTATTAACGTTCTTCTGAACTATAACATAGAAAACATTTTTTTTTCTTTTCATTTTCCTAAACGCTTCTAAAATTACCATAAAAATAATTCCACGGTTTCCAAGCTACAAGCTTGTTTGGCTTATCGAAGATTTTACTCAGTTATCGAGAAGAGTGAGTGTTAAGAAAGCTTATTTTTCGTCACATAAAAAACTAAGAGTTTTGTGCGGATAATTTCTACTTTTCAAAGAGCCTTTTTCTGCTTCTAAATTTAAGAAACCAGGTATTCTAAATGGTGAAGGCGCTGCGAATCGCTCTGTTTTCAAGTAAGAAAGATGATTCTTTTAGTTTAGAGTACTGATCATACCAGACGAAACCAAATGCGAATAACACATTTGTGATACATCAGTCCGCCGTATTTCTGTTGCAGTTCACTGAGCTAGACAAAACAGTCTCAGCAATTCCAAACTAAGAGGTGAAACACGTCTTAAAGCTAGATGAATACCTACCAGAGGCTTTCAGGATTTTGTAATTCACGAAAGTAGTAAACATGGATGTATTGATATTAAACCGTTTCGGTTTATTTCAGAAAGAACGTAACAAGACAGTAGAACAGCGATACTTACGATTGACCGAATGTCCTTTCATCTAAGCACGTAAGATGAGAAGAAACTTTTGAAATTCACAGATAAATGGTTGCTTTATAGATGACAAACTGGATCCTTGTATTGAGTTTCAACTGAATAAATTTGTGTTGATAAAAAATACCTTAAAAACCAAGGAAAATCGTAATCGACTTTTTTCCAACACAGTCCTCGAGGAAATTTGCTGTGCACCAACGAATTAACGCTCTCACCAAATTTTGTTATCAAGTCATATACCTTCTGAAAGAAAAGCTCTTCGTTTAGAAGTTTATTCTTTCTCTTTCGTTTCTTTGATAGAGAACACCAATTCGTAATGGGCGCATTCAAGACAAAACTATCTTTCAAAATATTATGCATGCAGTGTCAGTAAAACACAGATACGTCAGTCGAAGACATGTTTTTGGGACAAGTAAACACATGTTAAAGTTTGTAATGGTATACAGTGTTCATGTAATATTTTGCAACTTTTTTTTTTCGGTAGAGTTTAAGGAACATGTTTACGTTTCTACGTAAAGCTTGAAATGTTTATCGGTGAAAGGTTAAAGTAAAAATAGTAACGATGTTCACAGCTTTGGACAGATCAGTTCTACAATTTTCGCTAATTTCTTGTGGATATCACATGTGAAGGATATATTGTAAATGTGGCTGTAAAGCCTGGTCAAAGTTTTTAAATGAAGGTTTCCTTGAGTTCGTATTTGAATACAGCTTGATATCTGAGACCTCAAAATTTAACTAAATTGAAAATAACTATTGATTTCTTGGACCGATGGCTGTAAGAATGACACCACTGAACTACAAGAGAACACAGAGCCAGTTTGGAGGATTCTGTATTCTCCATGATCTGTGCGGTAACTTGTTATTATGGCTTATGTAAAACTGAAGCCTTAAGATCTAAGTCTTTAGTTTTGAAACGTTCTTTCATTTTCTACTCCTTTCAGTGCTCTATCTGTGTACTTCGCCGAATGTTTGTAAAAGACACAACATCAATTAGTCTCAGAATGAAAACAGACCGCAGACTACAATAGATATATTTTTACATGGCCTTTTTAATTCAACTTTCGTTTGATATTAAGAAAGATCACTAAAATCGTATGTCTTACACTAGGCAAATAGTCAAAAGATCTTAACGGGTAGAATAGGATTCAGTGATAGATGTAGCTGTTGGAACTGTCGAAATTCAAGTGGAACAATGACACAAGTTTCAACTCATCAACATACAGTTTGAGATCTCTGACAACTTACAATTTGGAACAAGGTTGATAGGCAAGACGTGTTTCTAATGTAACAAATACTAGAGGTGTTGTTGTACTCTGGTGACTGAACTGAATTGGCAGTTGTAGAAAAAAACAGACATTTTAACAAGAGAAGTTTATATTTTCCGGTAGAGAAGAAAGTATTATGTAGTTTTGCATTTCTCCGATAATTTAGTTACCAAGTATAGGGAGTGAGTTGCCACCTTTTTAAGCAGGACAATATGACTTATTGCTTTTAAAGAAAAGTGTGAAAACAGAATATTTAAGCACAGGTGTTTGAATGAATTTGAAGGCGAAATTTTATTCATATTGTTTAAAATCCTTCACTCTCTCCGCATGGGAGATATTCTATGAAAAAAAATGTATCACATTTCTTTGAAGTACTTGTTATTCCAACTGAACACGCTCTGGTGTACAACATAAGCCGTTCAACTCGCTAATTTATAACGAAATCTATTTTATTGTCCACCAGCATTTTCGCACCTGAATACCAATTAATAATGTATTCTCTTTCAAGGCGTCATTTCTTTAAACAAAACTTGGAAGGGAAAGTTGAACCAGCTTTTTTTTATGTCCTTTGCAGTTTCAAAATGTAACTTTTTTAGATCTTGTCCACAGCCATCGTCCATATCTGACCAGCTTATGACTGTCGCATGAACAACTTTGGTTTCGTCAAAAAATCAGAATTCTAATTATCAACAGAGCTAAGACTTGGCTTCCTGGGTACTCGCCTAGCATAAGACTATTTGATTCAGAGAAAAATCTTTTACTAATCCAAATCGAAAAGATCGAGACGTTATTCTGTTTTGATATAATTTCTTTTTTAATTACACCAGGACCAACCAAAGAGAACAGGCTCACGATACGTCGATAATTTGCAAAATTTCACCGAGCAGTTTGTTTAAATGAAGTATCATTTGCCGGAGTTAAGATAAGAAGAGAAAATACGCCGAGTTAGTGTCTGTCAAAGATATTTTTCTCTTAAATACTTTGTACTTTCATGCTTGCTTTAATCTCCAAATGATAACGACAATAATACAATAGTAACAGAATCAATAATAATAATAATAATAATAACAAAAACAATAATGCTTTTAAAAGTTATACTGCCACACGTCTAGTGCATCTCAACTGCTGACATATAAGTTTTACTCTCTATCTCTGCTTGCAACGTCTGATGTAACATCAAAACCATCATTACCTTTCAGTCAACTATAGTTCCACTGTTAGACCAAGAAGACAAAAAGAGCCCCTCAGTAAAGCAAATTCGTATGTATTCTAATTATATTGCACTGAGATGTTCGTTCGAGGTTCCCATTATGTCACAACTCACAGCTGAGAAGGGGTAAACTGAACAAATAACTCCAGTTTGAGTTATGATCAGAATTTTTTTCAAATATCTTTCTTTGTCAGAAAAAAATTGGAAAAGGCTAACATTTTAAGACATTGAATCTTGGAATCAGTTGAGAAAGGAAAAGTAATACAGGGAGCAAGTGTGATCCAATAATATCTGTCACTATTCAAAAAACAACTTGTCACCGGAAAAGCAATAGAATACAACAATTTCAACGTTTTGATCAACTCCTCTTTGAGTCGCTTCCTGGCAGCTAATAACAGCCACTTCCGTTTTACTAACGAGCAATAACAATCCGTGAAGAACAGTGATGAGAAAAAAAACTCGGTAAATGTTTTGTAGGTAAACTTTTTTGTGGGTAAAACAACAGCTGGTCAGGAGAAATTTAAACGCAGAGCAATTCAAATTAACTGTCATTTGTGCCATTTCATGATGAGACAGAAATGTCAGGTTAAATGTTGAATTTTTCGTTCAAGAAAAAAAATTCTTTTGTTTCGAAAATAGTTGATGAACATTTGTGTCCTATGTAAGGAAGCCAGATTTTCAACTGACTTTCTCATAATTTTTTGATGCGAGCGCCCAAGTCACATTTGCCCAGAACAGTTTTATCTATCTTTCAGTGTAAGGGATCACCGCCATTTCTACTTTGAGTAACATCTCTTTGCTATATTCTTTCCAGGTGTCCATGAAACCTGTCGTTCCTGGAGATGTCAGCAGTCATCAATTTCGTTGCAGATGGACAATCGCTCAAACGACAGAACAACCATGTTTTTAGCACTTCTCTTTAGAAATACCCCACATGATTCGTATCACTAGTTTATTTAGATTTCAGGTCATAATCTTCGATATAACTCAACCGCAGAGTTAATAATGTGTTCGTATTTGAAAATGAAACCTTTTTGTGTGGTTCAAGTGTTTCAGAATAAGTCACCTAGATGGTTGCACCTGCTCTTGACTTTTCATGCGACTAGCTCGAGACAAAAGGTTAAAAATGATTGCAAAGCCAGTTAACGAACAAAAATTTACACAATTTTGGTCAACTTCACATCTAATTTCTACAGGGCTTAATATGAAAATTTTGAACAAAAGCTTTAGTTAAACGTCTATGATTGTTTAGTTGATTTATATCATTATCGTGTTTTGAAAACACTGAACTGTAAGACTAAAAAGAAGAGGACCACTGCTTCCTCTACGAATTAATTATGGATAAACAACTTCTCCGTGTTTTCAGCTCTATATTTTTGTGTTCAAAACGAATGAATTGTACTTTCCAGTTATTTTAGAAGATAGAAGTTTTAACCTTCCAATATTCTTAAATATTCCAACTATAGTTGCAGAGAATAGTGGTCTTTCACTCAGTTACAAGATTTTTCGAAATGCTTTACTTTTGCAGAATCCCTTAGCACTACGAAGGATCTGTAGAGCAATTTCTTTTTTACTCCTAATTACCAAAGCTTTGTTTTGTACAGTTTAACACAAACTCCCGCAGGTCCAAACTATTTAGCACCTGCTCCACCCTGTGAAATCCACCTCAAAGGTTGGTATGGGAAAATATGGAACAATTTGGAAATTTAAAGACCGGGTTTTGATAAATAAATTTTTTAAAGAGTCGCTATCCTTTTTCGTCGATTATCGTGTCTTATAGTATTTCAAATAATGACCCGATAATTCTAAATATTTTATAGAAGATCTTCTCATTTATCAAATATGCGTTCTGAGTACATTTTGAATCATGAAAGCTAGATTTTTTAGCCTACAGAACCCAACAAGCATAAACGGAAGCCAGTTCTAAGCTTCTACAAACAAAGGCTTTGTTTAATAGTATAACCATTTAATTAACCAATTAGATAATTAAACTAAATGTTTTGTTTTGAGGTAATTAATAAAATAGGTTCACATTGTTGTGTCTCTGCAAAACGTTTCGTAGCGTTGCAAGTTGTCTCTGTTCCATTAGTTTATTTCAGATGATGCATTTTCTTTCTCCTGGACGTCAACTGTAAATATAAGAATCAATTTCTTGAACGTTCTTCAAAGCTCGGAAGAAAACTCATGAGTGATAAGACGATAAAATACTGCTTTGTTGATAAGAGTATCGGATTATTTAAGGATCTCAATGTCACGACCTTTTTCCTCACTTGTTTTTGGGTTTTATGAGAAAGATTATCGATGTTATTACTATCAATTTTGATGTTACATCACTCTTGAAAACTTGTCTTGACAAACTATTAGAAAGAGTAGAGACCTGCTTTTGAAGTTCGGTTTCTGTTTTAAATGTTGCGAAATCCAATTGCGTAATCGCCTACTAACTTGACCCATGTGTTTCGACATTGCTCAATAATTCGTCCACGTCAATTACCCTCAAATTTTTTCGTCCTGGTGAGTTATGATAACTAATTCCTAAGGTGCAAAAATGATTGTTTTTCGATCGATTCTTCGGAGTAAAAACCAGAAGGAACAACGATTTTCGTTGTAGCAAGAGGCTCTAAGATACACAACCCAGTTATCCGGACTCTTAAGTCAGCAAACTCAAGAGGCTTTTCAAATTCAATATTTTTAATGGGTCATCGTAATGAATTAATTAAAATAATTTTCGGAGCTCAACGAAAAAAAATCAGGTGAGTCAAGCGCTTTTTGGCCATGGCCGAAAGTCAAAGAAAACAATTGATTATCGCCAGACTTCTTTTGAAGTCATTGTTTGGAGCTTTCTATCGCCAGGGGCTGCGAGCGGCATTAGAAAGACCTGTAGAAGAATAGTGGAGCGGCACTCACAAAAAAAAAATCTTCAATAATTTTGCGTAATCGAAATGTTTATTCTAAACATGACGGGACAAGATAATCGCAAATTGGACGCAACCCATTCGTAAAATTGCTCGCACAGATTTGAAAACTGTTCATTTTCACCATGAAAGAAATTGTTTGTACTATTTTACTTCCGTGTCGGTCAATGGAGATAGAATTAACTGGTGTAAATAAACTATTTAAAGCATTTCTCTGTGTGGCGGTAAAATCAAAAGAATTTTCAAGTTACTTTTTAAGTTACTTATCTTTCTGTTTGACGCTGCTATCGATAAAGTCAAGAACATAACGAGTTGGTAATGTTCTGCTTTACCCGATTATGTCGCCCCTATTTGTTGATGCAAGCTGGGATAAAGAAAATTGTTTATCTAACTTCGCAACTACACGAGTTTTTGTTTGCGATTGAAATTTAATCAAGCACTTTGATAAAATGATGAAGAAAAATTACACCAAGTTGTTTTGACGCCGTGATTGCAGTTCTTGAGGGCGAATCATTCCCAGCGTATTCAGTGGTCGTAAAGCTAATCTCAAGAAGCCTATTATTCTTGATAAAATAATTAAAATTCAAGCTATTGATAAGATTTGTTTATATGTTCCGTTCAAAATAAACCTCCTGTCTGCCTTGTGAATGAGACAGAATGTGCCGACAGTCGGTAGAAGATAGCGGCATGCTTTTAAGCTTCAAGTGGGGTCATGTTAAAGGAGCTCTGTGCTGTTTCTTACTCAAGAGATATTTCCAAGAAACCGTCTTGACGATAACGTTCAATAAGGCCGACTCTCGCAAGAAATCGCCGCTTATTTAAACACGTTTTTCAACCATGAGGTTCAAGATGACTTTTTGGCTACGATAATTAGATAATTATAGGTTCGTGTGATCAAAGGATGCCGGCTTGCCTTGTTCTATGTTGTCTTATTGTTTTCATTCAATCGTAAGCGGTGGCAAGCAGCGGTGGGTTTTGTAGTCGCCCACAAAACATGTCGGTATGGGGTCGCTCATTAAGGACCCCTAGCTCCGCAGAGCGCCAGCTTCTTGTCTGAGGGCGTGTTCAAACGATAATTTCATCGAATCTAACCTAGAGACAAATTTTGAAAGTTCTTACATCTGATTAAGGAACTCTCGCGGGTCTTTCACAGCTTTGGGCTTTTGAATGTGGCGTAACTTGTTAAATGAAACAAAGTGCTGTATCCCTGGTTCGTAAGTTTGGTTTATTGATCGAATCACACGTAGTATAGTCTTCAAATAACCGATAGAAGAATACTTTCAGTATTATTCTCTTCAACATGTATCTCGCTATTCTCTTCCTCGCTTTGAAAGTCAAGAGAGGAGCCTTTTCTTAGCAGAGCTGAGGAGCTTTTGGGTTTAAACTCTATATCTGGTATTGAAAAGCCTCATGTCAGAAGTGGTAATTCTTTTCTCCGAGCATTACTTCAGATACCGAAGCACTTATCTTCCTTGGACAGGCTCTTTCGCTAACATATATTAATCGAAAGCTACTTCAATATGAGTGGAAAGGATCGAATAAATTTATGATTGTTATGGCGAGCGCTTTTAGATCACTCGGCTATTTCATCACCGAGAGGGTTAGAGAGAGATCAGTATTCTCAAGCAGCTAGCCTTTTGAAGAGTTTTTAGGAACTTTAATCTCACCTTCAGACGAGGTTCATATAAGAATTTTGGAGATATAAAACAGAAAACATTTTTCTTCCATTCGACTTTTTGAGTGCAGCTCTTTAAAGAGGGCGTAACGCTTTTGAAAAACATTTTAGCAGAGCTAAAATAAGCTAAAGTAGACTGGAAACCGTTTATGTTTGATCGATCGAACAGAGTAGGCACGAGGTAAACCATTACAGTCTAAGGAATAATAACTTAAATCAACTTGTATTTAAAGCTGAAAAAATCAAGTTTTTAAAACAGTTGAAGTTTATTTCCAATTTCAAGCCACTTTCACCATTATCGTTCACGAAAGCAACTACGCAAGGTAATAAAACTTCTACTGTTCGCTCCTACTTGCCCTTAAACCCATACGAAGAACATGCAGTGATTACATTGCTTAAGGTAAAATGATACTAATATTTTTACTCATTTTATCATTATATATTTCATAGAAGTCGTATTTAAGTTACCTTCCATATTTCTTTTTGGAAAATTGTTCCAATCCTAGGTTAATCCTCAGTTTTCACGAGCAGAAAATCGGCTTCCAAAAACTTTTTATCCACAGACTAGCTTGCAAAAAATCATGTGAATCGGCTATAAAACATGGTTGAAATAAAGTTTTCTTGATCTTTGAAGCTGTTCATGTATTCATTTCAGGTACCAACCATAGAAATTATACTAAGTTTCCAAAGAGTATGATGCTTTGAACAAAAGGAAGTCTTGAGTCACACACTATGACACATAGTGAAATATTCCTGTGTGAGCATTTGTTAATTAGTGAACTGATAACAGACACAACGGCACTTTTGTTTAGAATGTACATGCAACAACGAAAAGAAGCCTCACTTTTTGGTTTCCGCTACAAAAAAGAGATCGAACAGGGGAAATTGAAGCCAAACAAAAAGGAATTATAAAAGTGCGAAACAAGAAGAGTCAGAGCCACAAACCAAACCAAACCAGTAAATCCGCTCGCACTGTAGGTTCAGCTAACAAGAGCAGACATTTGCTGTTCTTTATTCCCCAAAGGTTTTTATGTATCCGACATGAATCACAGTGAAGAGAGGTAATCTGAGCTTTCGACATGAGTGCTGAAATGCATGTCTGACTACCGGTAACTGAGAAGAGAGTTTATATGTTGTGTCGTTATAATGGTGCAACTGCAGAGCTAAATTAATTCGCCTCAAGGAAATATGATTACTGAGTGAAACTTTCAGCGCAGTTTCTTACCAGTTCAAGACATTTTGGTTTTGAGCCGCCACTGATTGTTCAGGTTTATTCAGGCGATATAAATGACGTGCAATTAGATTGAAGACGAAGACAACCTTCTTTTGCGTAAATCTGAATCATTGAGGATTCTGCACTAAGTAGGAAAAGGGCGGATTCCATTGACTCAGAGACTTTAAAAAGGTACATTTCCTAAAATTTTCCATGAAGCTTCTGGATAAAATTGATTGAAAATAACGTACTGAGTAGAAGGGAATGTCAAATCATGCACCACATTCACAAATAGGGCACGCACGGATAAATACTGGTACCAGAAGTCATAAAAACGGGGTGGGGGGTGATAAACGTTGTTCATTCAGAGAAAACTTACAGATTCTTGCATGGATTGCTCGCTTTAATTAGTGAATTTTTCTTCTCTTTTTCGATTATAGCTATAGTAAAGTAAAGGATGGGCTTCGAGTTTTCGAAGTTCTGCTTCTTTGCAACCAGATGGAAATTTTGATCTTGTGCATGAGGGATTAGAGCGTCTCTCGGGGTGTTTCTAACAGGCATGCGTATGGTATGACTTCTCATTAAACTTCATCGAAAATGAAATGGAGGAAGGAGTTTGTAGCAAAGGAAATGGAAGTAGCGATGCTGACACAGCTCCGTTAAAGTCCTCGCAAAATTTTGACAATAATGAAACAAGCAATTTAAATGTGTAGAAAAAGATATACTTAGAGTTCCTTCAGTAAAAAACAGAGTACACATTTCTAAGTTTTCTTTTTATCAAAAATCCTATTAACTGGACGTAACTGTTTTGCATGAAGGAAAGCTTAACCGTTTCACTCCAAGTTTTTCGAGGCCCTTAGTAATTATCTTTTGTTTCTTGGTCTACAAGAAGGCCTGTTGTGATCGCGCTCGTAAGATGTTGGAAAGTTGCTCACTCACTAGAATGCCATAAAGTTGCTAAAAAGTTGCCAAAAATCCAAAAACTTGCTACCTAAGTTTCAAAAGTTTCTTTTCTAAATTTTTTCAGGGATATTTTTATATGAACTTCAATTAAAAGCTATATTTTTCGTTCTTCTCAGTGATGAACTTAGCTTTAAAGAGTTGCGTGCAAATAAGGGCGGCTTCTAACCATACATTCCCTTAATGGAAAGTAAATTAACACAAACAGCCATTTTTGTACTTCTTCCAACAACTTGCTCCTTCTATGATTATTATAAGCTACGTGGAGTACAGTATAATTCTGCAATACATA